ATTACTCTAAAAGTTTATTTTTTATAAATAATGTACTGGCGAGCCAAGCGCCTTCAAACGATTAAAATTCGGAATTAGTTTTTATTTAAATCTGCCGTTTTTTAAAGCATTATTATTATTATTTCCGTAGAGTTATCAAAATAATATGTTTAATTAGATAATTATTATTATAAAAGTGTAGAAGAGCTGTAGTTAGTTTAATTTTACACATTTTTGTGGTGAAACTTATTTTTTAATATATATTAGCGATTTTTAATTGGCTATGTCTATCGAATTATAAAATCATATTATTGTAGACATTTTTTTTAAATTTCATAAACAATATTCATTGTTTGACGTTTAATCAAACTTGTCAAAAAGTATTGTACACAGTAAAATGAAACGTTTATATTTTTAATAGATCAATACTCAATATAAACCAATATCAGCCTTAGCAATGGTCCGTTGACGAAATACCGTTGCCGATCAATATGATATTCTTGGTCGACGTTCAGCTATTACTTTGTTGGAATTAGTTTATGACTTATTGTAGAATTTTCGGCTGGCATTGAATTTATGAACAAAGGCCCACCTAACCGGATCCTGGTTTCGTTCCACCCTTTTAGATTAAAAACGATATTTCAGTTAAATTGTCAAACGATTTTTCTAGAATCACAACACCGTGGAAATTTAATAAAAACCGCACCGATGTCGGCGAAAAAGGTTCGAATGAAAAACCTGCCAATGCAAACAAAAAAAGTATACAATCAAACGTACCGCAGTTGCCCGTTGAATGTTTTATAATAATTGTTAATCCGTTGACAAAGCACCGGTGGGTCGTGACAAACGCCCAAAACAAACACTAATAGTTTTTTTACCTTTAAACCAAACTAATGCCAAACCGATATAAAAGAGTAGCCGTCCAACCGCACATACACTGACCATATTCACGGGTTAGGCAACAGGTTCCTACGGCTAACCAAAAAACAAATTCTAGTATTTTTAAACAGTATTAGCTTGTGCTATATGATGCTGTATTGAGCAAACTTCAGTTATTGAACAGATAGTACGCCCGACGTTAACTTCTAGACCGAATCTTAGGTGTGTCAGTCAGCGTCAAGACCAATCTTTGTTTAATAAATTACACATATTGGCGCGGTTAGGTTGATTGCAGAATATTATTCGTGCGAAATTATTTTAAACTATTTTCGACAAATATTTTTCATCCGATCGGTTCCCATGCATGCGTTGTACGATAGACCTGCTGCGCGGTATATCAAACAAATAATGCTAAAGTCGTATAACAGTAATATATTATTCGCACTGGATCAAAGAAAATTGGAATTTGGTCTAGTGAGCCGGCGACCCGCAAAGGGGTATTCCCATATGACTTCTATTACCGAAAAGGCATTTGTCGGTTTTGTTTTTTTTTACTAAAAAAACACCTTTGCCCATAACCCATAAGCGTATAGTCTGGTATGTCGTATTATGGATACATTTTCATATAGGGAAAAATTCACAACGGCATTCATAATGTTGTACGGTACTGTGACAGTGATCCTCCGGCGTGATGAATAGGCAAATTAGGTACACTCGTGTTTGCCTAAGCAATTTTGTAACAAGTATGTAAATATGTCATTGTAATGAGATGCTCATTGTTGAAATTTAATTTTACTATATGAAATTAATCGCCTTATCTCTGTTCAACGTCGCCCACTCCAAACTGTCTTTGTCTCTTCTCACTAGATCGTGAAAATTATATAAAACTTCTAATATACAAATTTCTAAAAAAAAATATTTGGTTTATTTTCATTATTTCATCCAAATACAAACTTCAAGAAATCTGCTAGTTCCAAGAAAATAATGCTTTATCTTGAACTAACAACTCTGACTAACTAACTTTGAGAAACATTTGAAAAAACAAACATCCTCTCTCGAGTAGTTTTATAACGACTATTGCAAGTATAATATCAAAGCAGAATAGGAATATAAAGTATTACGACCATTTTTTTTCCCTATAAGCTCATAATTGCTTTTGTGTTATTTTATTTTGTTTTTTATAATAGAGAATTATTTAACAGATAATGATATTTTCCTTGTGTATTAAATTCTTCTGGGAGATTTTTATATTTTAATGGCATTATAAATATAAAAGTCAAGTTTATAATAGCATTTCCAGGTATCTGCGTAAACTATTTACTTATACAAAACGCTTTTAAAAATTAATAGAGTTTCGGTACATAAACGACCGAGAAATTAGTTTTTTCGTAACACCACTTGTCAAACAGCCTTACACCGAAGTAATAATTTACTTAAAGTAGTGCTCTCACTGAATTATAAAAAGAAAGAAATCGAATTTTCTTTACCTAATTTAATTTTTTTTCAAGTTGTCGAAAATATTAATGTGAAAATACAATTTTATTTTTGATGTCAATAATATTTGAACAAAATAATAATGTAAAAATAGCAAAGATACACAAAAGTTTATAACCTGGCACTTAAACTGTGTTTCAACAATGAAAGGAAATTATATATTTTTATTTGTACATCAAAAAGAAGTAATTCTTACATAGACTTTTTATCCATTAACTTGTTATGCAAATTATGGTGCACACAATCGAATAACTAAAGTCTGGAAAACGTTTAAAACCAAAAGAGATTAATCTTTCGTTACTGTAAGACACCCCATCTACTCAAAAACAAAACAAAAAAAGAACTTACTTATAAAAAATAAAAACAAATTATGTTAAATTATTCAAAGGAATCGCTCTTGACTTATATTAACTAATATGCTTGCTATGTACTAAATATAGCATCAAAGTAAAAAGGTTTAATCATTGCTCTTTTTCAAGAAAAATAAACTTTTATGCTCACAAAATTAGTCGCTTTGATGTTGATAATTGTTAATTAATTTGAACACTGATCGATATTTACCCCAAAGGCCAGACTTGTCTGTCTGCTTGCACGTGCCGGGTACCGTCTTCTATATAACGTTAAAGTTCAATTGATTTTATCAAAGTTTCAATATGGAATTCATAACTAACTGATGAATTACATATTTGATTACATTTACAAGAACTCGTTAACAACGATAATATCATTACAACGTGCAAAATATCTCAATGGCAGTAAACACCATACCGTAACAAATTTAGTATTTTTATAATACTATATTTTCTATAAGTAGTAAAAAACTCGGACGGATTTAAGATGGTGATTTTAAACAATTACCTACCGGCTGTTTATTCAAGTTAACTTTATTCGAGTAAGCTTGCATTCGAAGAAACTTGATTTAATCGAATTTTAAAATAATACAATGTTTTTTTGGTTATATGGATTCAATGGCTTGACAGTTGTCTGCTATCATAAAAGCGCAGGCACAAGTATATAGTTTTCTAGTGTTTCAACAAAAAATGTTTCAACAGGTTGCAATAAAAGTGATAACGTGTTGAAAAATATCCAGTTTTTAATGGAAAAATGAATTTCTTGCATAGTTGAATAAATTATTTCTTTTTAAATAATTGTGCAAAAACCATGTTAATTAAAACTTAATCTCCGAAGTCAATCCAGGAAAAAGAGTATTTTAATCCCCTGGAATTATTGATTGCAAGTTGGAGACTAACAATATTCATTAAGAACTGTATACTACGATTACAGTTTATTTTGTTTCTTGTCTTTAAGAGAAACAAAATGTTCTGTTATGTTTTGATAGAAATCTTCGATTGTGTTGTCCTAAGTAAGGGAATCCGAAATCTATAAGCCACTTTTCTTTCCAGTTGTAATTTCAGATATGATCAAAATGTTATAAGGTAATATTTTAATAAGAATACTTTTTTTAATCAAAATAGATTTTTATTTTATAGATTTGAGGACTTTTATTGAGTCTAGGTATTTTATCTGAGAACAATATAATTATTACTGTTATCGGCTCCTGTAAAGTTTCGATTTGAAAGGTATTTAAATAAAACTAGTTAATCCTTACTAATTTACTTTGCTTATGAGCAATCTCCGATGGCTACTAATAATTATTACTCGCCGAAACAGACAGTTTAAAATTTAAGACGGGAAGACGTAGTGCGTGGTTGCGTGCAGATAAAAATAATACTTAACTCCCGCCCTAAACTTAAAACTTAATAACTCTAAAAGTAATTATTTAAAACTGGTTATCGATCAGTTACAATAAAACTATTCTTTTCTAAAAAAAAAGTCAATAATTTAAATAATATAATATATGCATATATTTCATAAGTTGACAGCGCTCTGGAAAATACTTGGTAATTTTCAAATATCGACATATAAAATAAATAAAAATGTTTTCAAAAAAAGTAAAGCTGCCATATAGTAATCATTTAACCGGTATGCAATTGGTCGTGGTGAATTTACATAATATATAAATATTATGGGAGTACAGCATCAGCGGTAACAGTCATCAACCGTTTGTGTACCGACCTATTTGCTTATCGACCCCTTTCAAATATTATTATTATCATTATACCGCATTTATATTATATGGGTAAACTGAGACGAGCAAATATGTATATTTAATGCATATTTATATGTGTATATAATGACGAGAGATAGGAGTAAACGTTATAACGAGTTTTAAGGACTTTCAAACTCAAATATTGTCCTATATGTGGATTATCGCATATAGAAATATACATAATATATATTTTACTTTTACGTTTGCCACGGTATTGGACCGCAAATAGCTTTTTACAGGAGTTTTCTTTATTATTATATCAGTATTTAGCTTGGCACGGAACAAATAAAAGAGGTTTGAAATTCTCGTCCAGATGGTATAATAACAATAACAATTTTATGATAATATTATTATTTTTAGGCTTCTCCATACCGTTGTTGGTAATCTCAAAACGGAGTTTTGTTTTCATTGTACTATTATTATTTTCATGATTGTCAAATGCAACGCTGCGATTAACGTTTTATCTCGTTATCGTGGTTTTAATAAATCGCTGTAAACCAGCCAATTATTGAACTTAACGAGCGACGTTGTGTTTCAGGTGTCATCGCTAATCCGATTCGCTCAACGACACTGCTGCCTCGGTGAGTACCACAGTAACAATAATTACTATACATTTTTAATTAGTCAGAGAGCCGTTCACAATCTCGGATTGATCGAGCTCGACGAATATTATACTTATTACTACTATAAAGAAAAGGCCTCAGACACACTTATCGCGCAACAGTGTCCGTCGTTCCGTTTCCGATTGCCCTTTAAAGCGACTGTCGGAAAATAAAAAACGCGGTATATACATCATGTCTTAAGCATGCGATTATAAGCAACCCATTGCCCGGTCGACACAAACAACATATAAATATATATTATCTCTAACAACACCATGATCTTTACTGCAAAATATCGCCAGTCATCTGCATAAAATATATTTTGTATAAAATGTCTTGGTAATTATATGTATCAATATAAGTTTTGTTATGTTGTATTTAGTCGAGGTAAATATTTATTAGATCTTTTTTTCGGAAGCTTCGTAGGTTATACGTCTATTGATTTAAGAGAAAGATAGTTGAAGTACTATACATAATCATACAAATTACAGTGTATGTGATATTTTGGTCTGCCTGCCTGTGATTTACTTTGTTATGCTTGAGGTTATATGGAAATCGCGCATCAATTATAAAAATAAATCCTTTCAATAGTATTAGCTCGGTAGACTGAGTAACAGCTTGTTAAAAAATGCCGCAAGGCTCCTTGTGGGTCTTTGTTTCACCAAAGGCATTCACCAATTTAACGCAGACAATATTATAAATAAATTAAGTGAGCAGAACTTGTAACTTGTTAATATTATCGAACAAAGCTAATTTTGCTGTGAAAAAGTTGTCTAGAGCATCACGTTAAGCACAATAATTTTCATTTCATAATACATTTTACTGTGTGAAATTATAATAGTATAAAGAGACGATAAATGTGGGTTTTAATATGACTATATTATTTTTTTTTATAGAAATTACAAAGGGAAATTATCGGTTGACGCACATTTATCATTTTCGGCCTCTGACGTTATGTTATTGATGGTGTTGAAAATTGATCAGAATTGAAACAACAAACTTAAAGCACAACGCAAAGTGTGAACAACCTATAGAGCTTGTATTTGTTAAAACAAACTTTTCACTTTATTTTATTATGTTACATATATATATATATATATATATAGTCATTTTTTTGTCTCTTTAACCTTGAACGGTTCGGTGGCAACTGGCAACACTCTAAGAGGACGAAGAAAAAACCTTTATTGCTATCCCGTGCCGTCGCAATAAAAACGACTTCCTTTCCGCAAATTTAATACTTATTATTACAATGTGTTATGCAACGAACAAACGGTTCTATATTCTAATACCTTAGCATGTGCTTTATAATATATATATATATATATATGTATATACATACAGAGTGATTCATTACAGATAAGACACACATTCTATCTTAAAATAATTGCAATTGTGTAGTTTTTTTTAATGGTATAAGCATTAGTTTATGTTATATTACAATATTGCATTTTTTTAATGCTTTAACTAAAAATAATTTTCAGTTAATGTTGACTGGTCGATTACTATTTTTGGATAATTACTTTTAAAGTTATTAAAGTTTAAAATTTAGAACAGATGATGGGTGCGGTAGAGTAACACATGAAGGTAAAAATAAAACTTCACTCCACTCTTCCTCCCGTAGTCAAATTTAAACTTTACAAGTAATTATCCAATACCGATTATTGACCAATTGAAATTTTCACCAAATTATACTTAATTAATAAAAATAATTAAATACTTACGTTTCAGAAGTCAACAGAGCTCTGGAAAATATATAAAAAATGGTAAATAACTAGTAATTGTATAAAATTTTTAATCAATAAACAAAAATGTGCTGCTCATAATGAAAAACTAGAAAATTATTTTAACAGAAAATAAGTGTGTTTACCCTTAATAAAGCACCCTGTGTATATTTTACAGGAAAAGTGGAACCGTAAACCTTGCCTAGATAATATAACGGGCTTCGTTGGTTCAATCTGAGATTTTCACATTACTCAGAGACCGGTAGTCGCATATTCGCGTTCAATAAAAAAAGAAAGTCATAAAAAATATACATTTTTATAAATAGTCAGTGTTTTCATAATATTTATTTGTTTGCTAGTGTTTTCAATATATTTTATTTCAAGTATTTCTTGAATGATATCTTGGCTTTAAGCTTTTACTATATTGCTCTAAAACTCAAAATCATTTTTCTTTTTGTGGGAGAATTTTTCAAAATCATTCTCCATTTCACCGACGAGGCTATATATCGAACAAATGTACTTAAGTAGATTATTGATAGTGCTCTTTGATAAAAAACAAATAAAATGTTCGAGCACTTAGCCGAACTCTAGCAACAGTCGAATGCAGCCACTAGTTCAGTTAAACTATATCAGTTTAACTGAGCTAATGGACGCGTTTGCTTTGGTTTATTTTTATTTTTTTATCCTAAATTAAGTGGTTGGTAATCCTGAGAAATAAATCTTTTGTAGTAGATCTACACCAAATCGTATTGTGCTAATCGCCACACAATGTTCGTTTTAATGACCATCCACGCGACATCGTCCCGCCGTACTTAAAATACCGCCGACCCGGAGGCCAAATTCAGTATGTATTTTATTAACCTAAACAAATACACTTGGTTTCCTTATGGAGTTTCACAAATCGTCCGGCTGCAATGAAGGTTTTTTTATTATTACCCCTTCTTCGCCCTTTTCGGTAGCTTTACTGTTTTATTTATTGTATAATGAACCATTCGTCTTTTTGATTTTATTACCCTTTTTTGTATGTAAAAGTCTAAATACGAATTAGGATAGCTCACATTTGACCTTTTCTGATTCTTTTTTTGGCTTAAGCGTTAAAAAACCTGAGACAAATGAATGAGTTACTTATACTCAGATAAATGTCAGTATAAAGTAAACAGTAAATAAAACCTATTAGCACCAGTATCAGATACCAAAATAAATAGAATTTTAATAGAATTTTTTCGTAGTGTCCTTGTCTAGGATAACACCGTTTAATTAAATCGTCAGGCGTAGTCCACCTGTCGCCGTCGTCACTGAAAAATGGCTTTGTACTAAGATACGTCACACCTAACATGACATTTGGACGTTGACGTTTACCGCCTTGGGAGATCAATGACTTCGTGAGCGGCAAGCGGATGATTCGGTTTAAAATGACCACACAATATACTTTGTGTAGGCTGAATTACGAATTTTATCACGTTCAGAGTAGACAACAGTTTTTCTCTCAAGTTTAACGATCAGAAATGTGAATACTATTTTCTTGAATACAAGTGTTCGCTGCTAAATTTTTTAGTCCGCAAAAATAGTATAATATTATAATAGATACTTTGATTATTTTGCAATACTTAAACGTTCAAGTAGCTTGCTCCTAATGCTAAATTTGTAAAATATGTGGCTTGATCCGATTTCGATAAAAACTAGAAATCTTAACGAATTTTATGGATAGCAAAACACACTTGAACTATTACGAAAAAACACAGATTAAAAGCGAAAGGGAAATTCGCGAAACAATAAATAATATATAAATAACGGAAGTAGTTTTTAAAAAATACTAATATATATTCTATATTTACATCACAAAATCAACCTACAGATTGTCGAAGTCAGCAAACGTGCACACGTTAGTCTCCCGGGAGTCTTCCCTACAGCTTTGATAAACTCTAACCCGTTCATCGAATATTGGGAACCTGCAGGAAGCATAAAGTCACGGTCGTGTAACTACGGGCAACCATGTAAAACGGTTTGACCGAGACTACCGAAGCTCAATAGCCCCAAAACCAAAATAGATAAATCTACTAGAATAAAATACAATCACTAGATCGTTATCTATGGCCTTGTCTAATCCAAACTAATTAATAGTCTGGGGACTATTTTCATAAACAAAGTTTCACAACAGCGACGTTTCTTTTATCTAATAAATTGTAATTATTATTTTCTTCGAGTAATCCGTTTTATGTTTCTAACGTGAATAGGTCTGTAAATTTGGTTCTATGTACGAAAACTTGAGCGTTACCAAAACATTGTTAATTCCTCAAAAAAAAGAACATAGCTCTAGTAGAAGATGAGATAGGGGAATTGAACAAAATATAGTTCACAAAACGACATTTACATTCTTCATCACATTTTCTCAGCTCTCCTTATCGTTTCTCAGCAAACCAATATAGTAGTTTTAACGATCACGGAAGTCTATTCAGTATTCACATTACATCTGCGGTTATAACTCTTACTACAACCAAACAGGTTTTTTTTTTTAGATAGTATTGCTGTTATAGTAGGAGAAATAAATTTAGATGTATTATTATTATTCATTGAAGTTGTTTCAATCCGTGGGATTATTTTAGCTTCGATGTGGTGCTGAGAAGGTAATGTTATTACTTTATGGATATTAATTTAATTTACTTCAATGTAACGACAGCACTCACACGTTAGGATGGGGGGAGTTATTGTGTTATGTGTACATGCTATCTAAGAAAAATATAGGACAATGGACCAAAACGCTTAAATCGTAAAATTTCAAAACGTCACGTTATATTGACGTACTAAAGGCAAACGTTCTACAAAGGCCATATGACAAAGGGAAGCACACAATATAGTTCATCAGATTAGTGTAGGTGTATACACTCGAAATTTCAATGAATCATAACAATATATATAAATTCAGAAATTACATGTTTCAAACTCGTTTCATCTGTGATGACAATGTTAAATGTGCCCTCACAGAGCTCACTTGTTATAACCTAATGTTAATAAGCAAAAATATAAATGTACACATTTGAAAATACAACCTACAATAAAGACTTTTTTGACTATACTAAAGAATTAAGAATAGAAAAGCAAAAATTAAATAAAATTTACAACATTAAACCAAAAAAATCAAATTATTAATATAACCTAACCAACATTAAACCCATATTTTTCGTTAAAAATCAAACATTTGATGGAATAAAAAAAACCTGTAAAATTTTGGATTCAGATTGTTGTTTGCCAACATATTAT